AGAAGTTATTTTGCTCATTTTATTTGTTTTTCTTTCTCCCTGACTGAGACATAAATTCCTGGAGACTAGGAACATTCTTGTTCTTACTATTGTATCCCTAAGCCTGGTGTGTGGTAGTTGCTCAATAAATATCTGTTAAATAAACAGTGAAATCTCCTTCATTACTCTTTTTTCCATCCCCATGTATCATGCTTAGCTTTATATGCGTTTTTATTTTACCTGTCAGGTTGAGAGCTACTTGAGGGAACATCGTTTTTTTAATTCATTTTTACATCTTTAGGGCTTCCCCTGGTAGATAGCAAAAGGTGAGTATGGAATGTGTGCCATGACAGGTAGTACCCCAAAATGTAGCCCGTTCACTGCATCATTTGTGCTCTGGAAACCTCTCCAATGGCTGGAAAGACCAAGCCCCTTTTTCATACTCCCTTTATATTCCTTTTATTCCTCTTCAGAAACCAGACACAGGAAACATCTGACCATAATAAAAGATTTCCAGTAAATTCTAGGTTTCCTCATTGAACAAAGTCATGTGCAGCAAGGCCGTGTTGTGCTTTGGTCTGGGTTCCGTGTGGCCATTTGTGTAGCACGCCACATGGCTGCCTCTGGCCTGGGAGCCAGGAACAGCTGGAGTCTGGGACGCTAGAAGTAAAAGTGACATATTTGTTAACTTGAGATGGAGACGTCTGGATATTCTTTCTCTGTTTTGTGCAAAGCAAACTTCCCAGTTCGTTGAGTACTAAGTTTTCCCGTTAGCTGTCAAAGTGGTTTATTATTAAAATAATCTTACATCCTTTAGAATAAACACAAATAATGAATGGCCAAACTATGTCTGAAGTCTGTGCCTTTAATGCTCAAAGCAAAGTTCATCAAAACTTACACAAAACATGAATATGTCACCAACTTCCTCTCAAAATTTCTGCCCTCTCACTTGTATCTTCTGGAGGTTAAAGATACATTGCTCTTAGGAGCGTTCCACTGTCACTGGAATTAATATTTACAAAGACTTTGACTCTTTCTTTACAGTAAGATTGTCACCTGTTTGGTGCTTACCCCGTGCATACCCTTCTCACACAGTATCACCAGGGCCTACTGACTTCTCTGTCTTCCTTGGCTTGAAGGCAAAGACTGTGTCTTACTTGGCTCCATGTCCCTGGTATCTGGCACAGGGCCTGGCACACACAGCTACTTGATAATATTTGTGGCAAGAAGGGAAGAAGAAAAGAAGGGGTAAAAAGAGCTCAGTTCATTTAGAGATTGATACCGTTGGGGTATATTTAAGTATAATGACATATAAGGATGACCTCCGTAACTAAAGAGAAAAGCTGAACAGCTTTTCAGCATGTATGGCAAATAATGAAGGTGATCAAGAACCTTCTATCCTTTGGCATTAATACCAGTAAGTTATAGGTTAAAATCCTGAAGCTGGATTAGAAAATTCTTTAATTTTTTTTCTCATGATACAAGTAATGCATGTTTACTGTAGAAGTTTTGCAAAAATACCAAGAATAAACATTACCTGTAATTCTACCACACAGAGACAACCACTATTAACATTTAGTCTTTTTTAGTCTTAGTTAACTTTTAGCCTTTTAGTTTACTTTTAGCCTTTTTTCTTTACATTTCGATTAAAAAGTTTAGAAGAGATTATATCAGAACTGCTTGTGAGTATAAAGAAGGTAAATGGCAATTGGAAAAATACTTGTGAACTACAATAAAAATTTTACAAAGACATCCGCACCCGAATGTTTATGGCAGCACAATTCACTATTGCAAGATCATGGAAACAACCCAAAGGTCCGTCAATTCATGAGTGGATAATTAAAATTTGGTATATGCTCACAATGGAATACTACTCAATTCTAAGAAACAACAGTGAGCTAGCACCGTTTATGCTATCCTGAGATGCGTTTTAAATTGTTGCTCATCTGGGCAGGCAATTCCTCAGAATTCCATTCCCAGTTTTCTTCAGAGGAATGTGATCTCTCACCTAGAAAGCTCTAAGAGCACCTTTCTTATTCCTCCTGCGCTGAGACTCTGCGTGATTACTTTTATCTTCCGAGGATGAGGCCAGGCTTGAACCTCTGAAGCTTCACATTACAAGGCTAGTTCAGGACTGACTTGAACTGAATGAGAATCAATACCCAGAATGGGTTTTTCCCCCCACCTTGTGAAATACTGCTCAGATATCATCACCTTTGAAAGAAAGCAAGTACATTTACTAGTTTATTTCTTAACATACTGCTTTCTATGTGTCAGTCACTGAGCTAGACATCAAAGCCTCAAAGGGAATACACAATCCTTGTCCTCAGGGAACTTTCAGTTTAATGAGGGAAAAAAGAAAAGTAAACAAGGATTATAATGCAGTATAACCAATACTGTAGTAGAAATACAGTTATGGCCTAAAGAAGAAAGTGAGCAGAATTGATCAGAGAAGGCTTCAAGAAGAGGGGATGATTGGGTCGAGTCTTAATGGAAACGTGGAGATTTTTTATCCGAACAGGCAGAAAGAACAACATGTCCAATGTCTGAAGACATGAAGGCACATACCTCTTTGGGAAATATAAGTAGTTTGGCATATCTGGAACAAGAGATGTATTAGAGGTGACAAATGAGGCCCAGTAGTGAAAAACTTGAATGTCAGAGCTTGAACTTTATCTTACAGGCCGTAGGAAGCCACTGAGGGGCTTTAATCAAGAGCAGAGACACAGTCTGGTATACTTTTTGGAGAAATCAGTAGAAAGGATGGAGGGAAATGGGCTAAGTTGGAGGCAGGGGTTTGGTTTGGGGACTATCAAAACAGTCCCAGCAAAAGATGATAGGCAGACTTGCAGAAAAGCAAATCTGTAGAGACAAAAAGTAACTTAGTGGCTGCCTAGGGCTGGAGGGGAAGGGGGAGAGCGATTTTGAGTGGGTATGAGGGATCTTCTGGGTGATGGAAATGTTCTAAAATTAGATTGTGGTGATGGTTGCAGAGCTCTGTAAATTTTCTAAATATCATTGAATTGTACACATAACATGAGTGAATTTTGTGGTATGTAAATTATATGTCAATAAAGCTCTTTTTAAAAGCAGGGGTTGGGGAGGGAGGCGAGGAGATGAGGAGAGAGATGTTAAGAATGAGGTGAATTTATAAGAGTTAGACACTGATTGTATGAGATAGGATGGTCATCTATCTATTCAGCCAAGTATCCTAATTGTGCTTCTACATTTTGTAAAGAAGTGGCAACCCTGCCTCTTTGTTGGTAGATTTCAGAGCATATGGTTCTGCCCTTAACTAGCAGTATAGAATATCTACCGTGGAAACCACATCCTCCGGCTCTCTGCTACTCAGTTCTTAGTAAGCACATGGTTGTGAAAAAAAAATATTTATGAAGGATTTGTGATCTATTCATTTCTCTATGCTTTGTTATTCAGCAAATAGTTGTCAAGTGCCAGGTGTCATGCTGGTGAAGTTAGTGGTGAATAATGTAGATATAGTGCCTGCTTTTATGGAGCTTATGGTCTAGCAGTGGAACAGATGTTATTTATACTTATGATAACTATTGTGTTGGATTCCATGTGCAATGAGAGAAAATAACATACAAACTGAGATCTGAGGATAATGCTGGGGTGGGGGGTGGCTGTAGACCCTGGTCCTGCATCCAACACGTGCACCTTTGTAGCGAGTGAGTCTTTTGAGTCTGGGGTCTCTTGGGTTATCTTGGGCCTTACATCATCTTGATACCCCTTATAATTGTTTTTATTGAGCTAAACATTGGATTTATGCTATCATTTGGCATTGGCTCATGTAAGAAACAGCCTTACAAGATTCACAAGGACTTATTATGGAAATGTTGTAGAATATACAGTCTTCAACATCAGATAGCATCCCCTTTTTTAAGACTCACAAGAGAAAGTTCTCTCTGATCACTGTATGGTATTTGCTTTTATGTTTTGGTCTTTCAGTTTCTCTGAAGCACCAGATTCCATCTTGCTTCAGGTCCCCATACATGGCCTTCTCTCTAGCTGGAATGCCCCATTCCGTTCTCATCGGCCCTCACTAATCCTTCAGCTATGAGTTCAAGTGTCACTTCTGCAGGGCAGGCTTCCCTATCCAGTACCAGCTGCTCTCTGCTCAATCCAGTTCCTAAGATAAACTTTCATAGCACTTTCTTCTTTTCTCTTTTATTTTCTCAGTTTCTAGTTAAATAATTTGTTCTTTAGTAACCTTTTTCTTTCCTAGACCGCTAGCAGGGAGATCCATAGGATAGACACCATGCTTCTTCTGTTTGCTGTTGTATCTCAAAGTCATAGTGTAGTGACTTGCACATAGTGTTTACTGAACATTTGAATGAATGAAAAAATGAATGCATTGTGGGTACTGAATATTTGACTGTTCATCTCCTTTTTCATTTGCCTGTTTGGAAGCTCAGACCCTGCTTGATTCTACCTGCAGTGTTTGTGTAGGTCCTCATGGCATGCATTTTGTGCGCTAACATTTCCCCCACTATCTATTAATAATATTTTTCCTTTCTTTGAATACTTTGTTTTTTTATTCTAGCTTCTACTGTAAATTCCTATAGGCCACTTCAAGTTTTTTGGGGGAGAAGAAATAATAAACAATTGGGTATGTGAATAGAAAAAAGAGGTCAAAGGGGAAATGTTAGTGCCTTTAACCAGATGCAGGAGAGAAGTTTTATTTTGCTGTGTTTTAATTTTATTTTCACTAGGAGAAGGAAAAAGAAGTAAATTTGTCCCCTAATATGGTAGGAAGTGCCTCTGAAGAATTTGGAGCCTGTCCCTGCCCTTAGTCGTTTCTCCCAGTGGCAGGAAACAAGAGGTGCTGGGCTCAGCAGGGCCCCCGGCCCAGTGGGCAGTGGGCATGGGTCTGCAGAGGCTGGCTATACAGCTGAGTTCCTTCCAGTGGACCCTCCCCTGGGGCAGGGTTTGGGAAGAGCCAGTGGGAGCTTGCTTTTTTACTATGAAGGAAAAAGAAATGAACTTGTCCTCTTGTGTTGCAGATTCAGTGGTTCTATCCTTCGACTCCGGTGGACAAACACTAGGCTCAGGTACCAATTTTCCTCCCTGTCATTTTTTCAACACTTGATACTGGCCATATTTTTAGTGGAGCCTAATTGGAAAGGGGGTTTGGGGTGAGGGAAATGGAATATTTCAGAATTGTGGGAAAGTCTCAAGAAGCCTTTCTAGGGACTCATGGTCTAAGAAGCAGAAGAGGGATACAACATCCAGAAAACTTTTCCAGTTTCTTTCACAGTGTGCTCTGAAGAGTTGTCCAGATTCATATAAAAGGATTGCTATTTTCTGTGCACACATCCTGTCTCAAAGACTGGGTCTGAGAGACCCCAAGCTCTGTGAATGCTGGAGCAGATAACCACCAGGGCTTTCCAGAAGAATTCCAGGCTGGTGGGAACATCCCAGTTTCCTGAGAACGTGCACTTTGTTGCATGTTTATGTGCACACCCTATATATCCAAGAACAGAACTCTTCCAGGAGAGGAGCATCGTTTTATTGTGCACTTGTGCCAAAATGCACATAGGCAGACACACTCCCTCTCTTGTTCACACCCACACTCATGTTCACAGTGCAGGACACACAAATTGGTACACCTGCTCCTTTGACCCAGACCCAGAGGAACTTGGCTCTCCCATGGCTGAGGCAATTGATGTGTTTGGTGGCAGTGAAGGGGAAGAGAGGCTGCTTTGATTCTTCAACTTGCTGCCATTGGATCCCCATGGGAGCCCTAGAATGACTTTACTTTGGAGTGAAAACATCGCTGTCATCAATCTTATGTTTTTAGGTGAAGTTAGGTGGGCCTCATACCATGGGTGCTGCCTGTGAATACCAAGGAGAGACTTTGCTGTCCTGTTGAGAGTAGTTAATACACTTTGCTGGCCTTAAATGCAATAAATTGACATTTCACTAAACAGCCACGAAGTTTAGGCAGTTGTGGTAGAGTGGGCAAGAGGAAAGACATTCAGAGAATGTGATCACAGCTGCCACCGTTTGCCAAGGGCCCACTGTGTCCCGATACTTTGCTGAATGCTTTATGTACCTCTGAGTCATCCCTTGCAATAGCTTTGATATCTTAAATTATATAATAGATAATGAAACGAATGCTCAAAGATGTGAAGTAACCTGTTCAGGACATTCATCTATCTCTGTCCAACTCTAGAGCCCATACTCTCTCCCTTACCATTTTGCTATCTTATACCTTGTATGCTTGAGGTATGCACCACCAAAATGCTGAGGCAAGAGAAATCACTTTAAGGTAAAGAGGACAGACAGAGTTCTTAAATGAGACTCAAAAGCTGTATCTATACTTATAGGAAAAGATTGATCAATTTAATTACATTAAAGTTAAGAATTTCTATTCATCAAAAGACTCCATTAAGAGAGTGAAAAGGCAATCCAGAGTGAAAAAAGACATTTACAACACAAATAATCCACAAAGAACTACAAAATCAATAAAGAAACAATCCAGTACAGAAACAAGCAAAGACTTGAAGAGGCGTTTCACAAAAGAGGAAATTCAAATGGCAAGTAAACCTATGAAAAGGTATTTGATTGCATTAGTACTCAGGGAAATTCAAATTAGAATCATCACAGTGAGATGTTGTTACACACCTACCAAAGAGCAAAACTTGAAAAGCTTGATAATTCCAGTGTTGGTAAGGATGTGGTATGGGGAAACTCTGAGTCTTTACTGGTTGGAGGGTAAATTGGTGCAACAATTTTGTAAAAAACAATAGTAGTATCTTAGCTAAATTTTCATATAATGCATACCTCATGACCTGGCAATCCTCCTTTAGGTATTGCCTACAGAAATGGTATCCCTTAGGTATCCCTATAGAAATGCATGTTTATATATAACAGAGTATATGTGCAAGATATGTGTATAAGAATGTGCATTATTAATAATTTTCAAAAGCCAAAAACAGTCCAAATACCTAACAGCAAGAGAGTAAATATGGAAACTACATTATATTCATATGGGTAACAGTAAAAATGAGCAAATCATAGATAGATGCAACGACATGGATGAATCGTAAAGACATTGTTGGGTGAAAATGTCGGACAAAACAGAGTATATACTTTGTTTTTCCTTTTATATAACATTCAGAAACAGATGAAATTAAACTATATTTGTTTAGATGTGTAATTCAGTATTAAAACAATAGAGAAAAGCAAGGATATGAATTCTGTAATACCTAGGGTGGTGGGATTCAAGGGAATATGTTGAGGGATGAGCACATGGGAACTTCTGGAATGTTGATATGTTCTTTTCAGTGACCTCAGTGGAGTTACCTGGGTGTCCATTTTACAGTAACTTGTTAGCTGTAATTTAAGTTTTAGGTACTTTTCTATATATTTGTTAAATTTTAATTTTTTTATACAAAGGGCATAATGTATTGTCAGGCTTGGGACAAGCTGTCTCTAGGAACAGAAGGATCAGGAAGTAGCACTCTATGTTGGGCTTACCAGGACAATTAAGAAGGAGGAAGAGGGGGCAGCTAATATCTGTGGATCATTTATTATGTGTCAAACAGAGTTTTAACCACTTTTGTGTGTACTAACTCACTTAAGCCTCACAGCAACCCTTTGAAATAGATACTGTTAAAATTAGCCCATTTTTCAGCCAAGCAAACTGATGTACAGAGAAATGAAATAACTTAACCAATATCAAATAGCAAGGAAATGGCAGAGCCAGGATCGGAATTTAAGCACTCTGGCTCCAGAGTTCATATTCTTGCTTTCTCTAGTCTTACAAATTTTTAAGAGGACTTTGGTTCTTGGTCTCCATCTATCTTGGAGTTATAAACAGATCTTGGGCTTAATGTGCAAATAACTGAGGACCCTGGGATAAAGCTCCCAGTTTTATACATGGCCTCAGTGAAAGCTGGCAAAGAATTAGCATTCAGATATTTTTCTGCCTAATTTCCTCTTAGTGGAAGATAGGTCAAATTGATTTAAAGTCAGCTTTAAATGAGGACTTATTCTCAGCTTACCTAGCATTCAGTCTTCCTGACACCACCACTGAACTCCACACCTAGTCCTACCTTATTCATACTCTCATGGAATATTGGCAAGAGGCCAACAGTCTTGCTGTCTCATGCTTTGCATCAGCCCTAAAAGGGAATGGTGATAGAGAGGAGCTGGGCAGAGGTCTTCACAGTTGCCCTATTATTATTCTATTTGGACAGAATTTACACAACACTGGGAATACTACACTGCCAAAAAAGTTTTAGAATCTTAGCAAGATAAGTTTGGAATTAATCCCCCTTTTACTTTCTTTCTATTAGTGTGGGTAATTAAAACTAGGAAAAAATGTTCCAGTTCCAGGTAAGATGGAGTGAATACACTCACCTTATCTTTTCACTGAATGCAGCTAAAGGCCTGGGCAGAATGCATTTAGCAGCTATTTGGGGACTCTGAAACATAAATAGTAGCAGACAGATTGGGGAAGAATACCAGAATTCAATGTATTGCCAAACTGGCAGTGAATTTCTGATCTTTCCTTCTGTGTCTCATGTCTTGGACTCAAGGCAGCCCAAAACCCTGGAGTAAACACCAGGGCATAAACAGAGCTCCAGGAAAAGAGCTCTAGTTATATCTCTGGGGTAGGAAAATGGTGGCTAGGTCTCAGACAGAGGGGGAAATCCCAAAGGTTATTTTTTCTTTACTCTGTTCCCTCCCACCCTAGTCCCCAGCAAATCCCATGGTGGTGGTGGTGGTGGTGGTGGTAGGGACAGGGGCAGCAGTAGGGCCTTTAAGCACCTAAAACTGAGGGAAAGGAACCTTCCTCTCTGATCAGAGGAGATACAGTCCCAAGAGAGTGGGTTGCAATTTTGGTTGCTTAGTTTCTCTTTGCCTTCCTGCTGCTTGGCCCCAGATTTGGGCCTGGCTCAGGAAATTCATGGCAGAATGTGGTAACTAAAGCCCCAGCTTTCTGGCCAGAGGACCAAGAAGGGAAAGCCCAAGGAACCAGAAGGCACAGAGGAGAAAAGAGCGAGGGTGAGCTCAGGAAAGTAATTCCTTATAGTTATTTATGAACTCCAGACTAACCTGAGCTGTGCATTCATGCCTCTGATTCTAAACAATATACCAAAGACTTTCAGAACTGAACTAAGGGTTAGACCACTGCCCAAGTCCCAGCCTGGACACTGGGTGGCGCACACAGAGAACTCAATGAACAGGCTTTGAAAATGGCACTGACATTAAAACCACAACCACAGAAAGCTAGGCAGGAAACTTGCTCCCTGAACCCAGTCTGGTCAATTGTCTGCTAAACAAAAATATCAACATTCTCCACTGGATTTAACATGTTAACTGATTGTGAGTTGTATTTAACTCACACTAGTTTTGACCCCGGAGCCTTGTGAAGCATATGTAACTCACACATCTCTACCTTGGAGCCACATGAACTATTTTTCAAGTTGCATATAACTCATATACAGAAAACAATACAAAATAACACAGTTTTTATTAAATTAGAAAGGATAATTTTGTTTTTGTTCTAAAACACCATGGCCCTGAGAAAAGAACATTTTTTTCTAGTGTGGCAGTCAATGTGTTAAACAAGACCTAGAGTATCATAATATAATATTCAAAATATCTAGGATGTAAGCCAAAATTAATCATTAAATGAAGAACCAGAAAAATTTAATTCTTATGGGAAATTAGCAGATGTCAACACTAAGATGACACACATGTTGGAATAATGCAACAAAGACTTTAAAGTAGCTATTATAAAAATGCTCCCCAAAGTAAAGGCAAACACTGTTGAAACAAATGAAAAGCTAGAATCTTAGTAAAAAATGAGGAACTACATGGAGATATAAGAACAGAAAAAATAAAGCAATTGAAGTTTTAAAAACTCACTACATGAGTTCAATAACAAAATGGAAATGACAGAGGAAAGAGTTAGTATACTTGAAAATAAAGCAATAGAAACTATTGGAATACTGTGCAGTCATTAGAAATGTTGCAGCTTTGTTTTTATTGACACAGAAGATGTTGAAGATATTGTTGAGTAAACAAAACAGGGACA